TTTTCTTTTTTGCCTCTTGTGAATGTTCAGAATGTTTGAGCCAGGCGCCTCCCACCTCCCTCTGCCTTGGCCTCCTACGTGCTTTCCGGCTGGACCCGGGCTTCAAGTGGGCAAAAAAGGCCTTGCTCAGGACCTTGGAGCCCCTATTGCTGACAAGCAGGCCTGTATGGGGTGGGACCTGGCAGTCGTAGTGGTTAACAGGACACATTTCCCTCAAAAGCATTGCAGGAATAGCCCAGTTTCTCTGATACGCCTACTTGAAAGATACTGTTGAGATTTTTGCTCTGGCAGAATGTGTGGGTCCGACATTATAAAGACCCACAAATCATTACCAAATTCCAGTTTACAGGAATTTCTCCCCACTCACCCTGCTACCTAACCTTCTTATGTTCTAATAAACTACGTATGACTTCTTTTTTTTTGATAATTTATTTTTAGTTTTCAACATTCACTTCCATAAGATTTTTAGTTTTAAATTTTCTCCCTTTCCCACAGCCTTCCCCCTTGCCAAGATGGTGTGCAATCTGATATAGGCTCTACTTATACATTCATATTTTCCCATTAGTCATGATTACATATCCCTTCAAGAGAAGCTGGACTTGAAAATTGTGCATTTATCTTGAATTAAGATTGGGGGGAGGGAGGAGAAGGGAATAAGCATTTATTAAGTACCTACTATGTGCCAGGCAACGTGCTAAGAGCTTTACAAACATCTCATTTGAGCCTCACTAAAACCCTGGGAAATAGGTACTATTATTATCCCTATTTTACAGTTGAAGATACTGAGGTAGACAAAGGTTAACTGACTTTTCCTGGGTCACACAGCTAGTCAATGTCTGTGGTCAAATTTGAGCTCAGGTCTTCCTGACTCCAGGCTATCCTTATACTACCATGATCTTTTTTGTTGTCATTCAGTCATTTTTCAGTTGTGTCTGACCCTTTGTGACCCCATTTGAGGTTTTCTTGGCAAAGTTACTAGAGTGGTATGCCATTTCCTCCTGCACTAGATACAGTGGATCCATTTGTCAGGCAATCATAAGTTAAAGTGACTTGCCCAGGGTCACACAACCAATAAGTGTCTGAGCCTGGATTTGAACTTGAGTCTTCTTGAATCCAGGCCTAGTACTCTATCCACTGAACCACCCTCATATTGTAATCTTACAGTTCTTCAAAAAGGGGAAAGTTCACAGAATCATAGTTTTAGGGATCTTAGAAGCCATCTAATTTAGCTTCCTCATTGAGGAAGCCGAGGCTTAGAGAGATTGAGACTTACTTGTCCAAGAAGTAGGAGGAGACAGGCCAGATCTGGACCCCTGATTTTCTGACTCCAAAGCTCAGAATTTCTCCTCCATTGTTATTCTGGATATTGTACACGTATCTTGTTCCATTTCTCCAAAGCTCAAGCTGTCTTTTAGCCACCCAGAAGATCTCTGATTAGGCTCATATTCGTCGTCATACAGGATATAAAGTCATACGAGTGCTGGTGAGAAGTTTTTTTATCTGTACTAAAGGCAGTATATCTGAGAAAAAGTCTAAATTACTATAAACGTGAACTTGGATTCTACTTGCTAGAAGAACTGTGAGTCACTGTGATATGTTCCCAGAGGTGAGGTTAGTGGGGGAAGGTGGAGGATTAAATTCTCTTCTAGAGAATTTCATTTTTTAAAAGTCAGGCTGCTGGCTTAGTCATAATGCCCAACTGCATTTCTATGCTGCATTATACTTTGAGCATCTTCTCTCATGCATTATTTCCCCCATTTTGTAAGTAAGGACTCTCAGAATGGCTACACACAGGTTGTGATTTGCCTGGAATCACAGAGCCAGAATATGTCATTGTGCTGGGTGCTGAGGGTGCAAAAATTAAACAAAAATGGTCTTTCCTCCCTTTGAGGATATTACAGTCTACCTCTCTGCCACTGACTTACAGGGTGATCTTGGGTGAATCAGCCTCCCTCTGGGTTCTTTTTGCTCATCTGCAAAATGAAGTTGCTAGATGGTACAGTAGCATGGAAACAGCATGGGTGTCAGGAGATGGGTTTAAGTGTTTTTTTCTACCACTAGTTTGCCATGAGGCCTCAGAGCAGTTGGTTTACTTTTCTGGGCCACGATTCCTTTGTTTGTAGATGAGCGGCTTAGATCAAATGATCTCTAAGAATCTTGGCATATTAGGGCTTCACCTTCTACAAGAAGGCTTTTTTAGATCTGGCTTCTCTGCTTCCTTCCCCCCAGCAATTGATAGGGACTTTTCTCTCTAAACCTCTCCGTATTTATCCAACATACTTGTCAATATACGTGTTGTCTTCTCCGGTAGACTGTAAGCTCCTTGAGGGCAGGCCTTTGTTTTCCCCAGTATCTAATAGACTGGCTGGTATCTAGTGGACATTTAGTAATGCTTGTGGATGGATTTATTAACCTAGCAAACAGCTATCCAGTATAAATATCCTAGGAAGACTAGAAGTGACTGGTAAGGTCAGAGAAGATTTCCTGGAGGAGATAAGTTTTGGGTCCCATTTTAAAGGTCATCGATGGGACCAATAGCTAGGATAGATTGAGAGTGTCTTCAATATGTATATGGACAGGGAAGAAGCCTCACTTGCAAGGGTATGGTGCCTTTAGTTCTCTAATCCGAGATCCAGGCCATGGGACTGCCTTTCACCAGAGTTCCTTGAATGGGGACCAGGTCTTAATGTGACTACCTCTCTCAATCTTTTGGTTAGCACAGTGCTTTACGCATGCTTCACTATTCAGCCAGTTGTTTTTCAGTTGTGTCTACCTCTTTGTGACCCCATTTGGGGTTTTCTTGGCAAAGATACTGGAGTGGTTTGCCATTTCCTTCTCCAGCTCTATTTACAGATGAGGCAACTGAATCAAACAGGGTTAAGTGACTTGCCCAGGGTCACACAGCTAGTCAGTGTCTGAGGCAGATTTGAACTCAAGAAGACTCATCTTCCTGACTCCAGGTCGGGCACTCTTACTGCTGTGCCACCTAACTGCCCTTTTACTCATGCTTAGCTAATGTTTATTGAATGAATGAATGAATTGAATTGAATGAATGAACTTTGAGCTGCAATTTGTGGTCTAGTATAAGAAAAGAAACCAGAAAGAACAGAGGGGTTACACAGCTATATACTAATTGACCTTTGGACTCCCCTAAGCTGCCTCATATCTATTACTCATATTGAGTTCCCCAGATCCAGCAATTGGAGCTACAATGAAGAAAAGAGGCCAGCTGGGACTAGTAGATCCTATTCAAAGTCATACCCTTGACTTGTTTAACTAGAAAGAAATAGCTTTAGGTTTGGAGTCAGATGATCGTGGGGAAATCCCTGCTACTGACTTGTGTGATCTTGGCCAATTGCTTTGACTCTCAAGGCTCCAGTTTCCTGATCTGCCAAATGGGGACTTTGAACTAAATGATATAAGGTTGTGGTCAGCCCTGGCATTTAAGGTCATAAATTAAGAACTGAAAGGGATCTCAGAGACCATCTGATCTACATACAGCCTCATACTTTATTTCGTTTTTTAAAGAATTTTTTTTTAAATTCTGGACATAAACACCAATTTAAATTTAAATTTTTGTCTGTTATATACATAATAGAATGGAAAAAAAGGATTGTACAAAAAGCTGAAAACCTCTGTTATGTACAGTCATATAATGAATTCTCCATTTAACTTTTAAAACCGTCCTGCTGATCTGTAATTTTGTTCTGGCTTTCCTTTTGTTCTGTTCCCTTTTGTGCATTAAAAAAAGTGTTTTAATGACCATCTTTCATTTTTCTTTCTTTTTTGGATGCCTTAAACACACACACACGTACACCCACACACACACACACACAGAGTCCCCCAAATTAAGGGGGAAAAAACACCTTTTAACAAATACACTTATTCAAGCAAAACAAATTCCCACTTAGGAAGTGCCTGTTCCCACTTAGGAAATGCCTAAAAATGTGTGTCTTATTCTGCATCTTAAGTCTATACCATCTCTGTCAGGAGCTATACTCCACCCTTACCCTTAAGCCCCCATTTTACAAATGAGGAAACTGTGGCCCAGGAAGACTGTGATTTTCTCAAGGTGGTAAGTATGAGAGTCAATATTTGAACTTATGTCCTCTCCCTCCAAAGCCTTATTTTTGTATAAGATGACCTCGGATAATAACATTTGGCATTCATGTAGTTCCTTCAGGTTTACAAAGTATTTTTGTATGTTATCTATTTTGAGCTTCACAATAGCCCTGTAACATAGGGTCTCCTATTAGCCCCATTTTACAGATGAGCAAACTGAGATTCAGAGAGGCTAAATTACTTGCCCAGGATCATACCAATGGTCAGTGTCCAACTCAGAGTTTAAATTCAGATCTTCCTGACTTCAGATCTAGCGTGATACCTACTATGCCCCACTGCCTCTCGGTTTCCAGGCTTAACTTGTTAATGAGTGGGCACATAGATTTTTATCACTTTTCCACTAAGGATATAAATCCGGCTCTATATGTCACTATGATATGTATACAAAGGTAACATTTGGATGGACTGTGCCTTGTAGAGGAAAACAGCTATCAAGAGAAATTAGCAGCTTTATTCAGATACATGGGAAAAGAAGTCTAATGTAGTTTCCTGATTAGGGATATCCAAATATTGTATTGGTGGCCTTGGCAGGGATGGGGCAAGGGTAGGAGTAGTGAGTTCACCGTCACTGGAAATACTCAAGCAGATGCTGATTGATTATTTTTCAGGGATGTTGAAGAGATGAAGTCATGTTTTAGGGAGAGGTCAGTCTAGATGACCTCTGAAGTCCCTTTCTATTCTGGGATTCTCTAATTCTTCAAGGAAGTATATATGACTAGGAATTGGGTTTCATTTTTTTTTTTACACCACCCCCTCCATTTTCTCCCATGCACACACTAAAAAGACCCAAGGCTTCCACAAGGAAAACAATGTCCAGATTGGCAAAGTGTGGCCTTTTTCCCAAGGTTTTTTTTTCTTCTTTCTTTTCTCTTTTGTAGATTCGTGTGTGCCCAGTTGCCCAATGCAGTGCTAGAAAGCATCAGTGTCATTGACACACCTGGGATCCTGTCTGGGGAGAAGCAAAGAATTAGCCGAGGTAAGAGAGCCATATTTCTTTACTTGCTGGACAAAATAAAAAGGTGAATTAACCAGGAACGTGGACCAAGAAATCTACTCTAGAGGCTAAGCCCTGAGCCAAGAAGGCTCCCTTCTATCCCATAGGACCGAAATGCTTTGTCATTCCAGTATTTGAGAAGGGTGCTGGAAATTGTCTCTTGTAGATGTGTAAGAATTCACCGGTGTTGGGAAAGGGGTTGGGAGTTGGGGGATAAGGAGAGGGGGAAGGGGACTGAACTGGTTCAGGGTTTTGTGGAAAAGCCCAGGGGCCCCATATCAGGGTTGAGTTCTGTCCCGGTAAACAACTAGCTGGGTGACCTTGGGAACTCACTTTCCCTTTTCTGGGCCTCCCTTCCAAAATGAGGCAGTTAGATTAGCTGACCTCTAAGGTCCTTTCTAGCTCAAATGGTCTAAGAATTCTAGGAACTAAGACAGCTTAAGCTTGTCTGGGGTAGAATCTCTCTTCTTACCTTTACTCTGTCATCCTCTGTATTCATGACTTCAAGTCAGCAGTAGGTAGATCTTCCTGACTCCAGGCCCATTACTCTGAGTTCAAATCTAGCCTCAGACTCTAACCAGCTATGTGACCCTGGGCAAATCAATTAAACCCCTTCAGTTCCTCATCTGTAAAATGGGGACACACTGGAGAAGGAAATGACAACAACTCCAATGTTTGCCAAGAAACCCCTACAATCCATGGAGTCATTTAGAGCCAGACAGGACTGAAGGACAACAATTAATGGCTTCCAAGTAGGGTGGACAAAGAGATGAGTCTTTTGGCATGTTTTGTTTCTTAGAGTGGGAAGTTCTAGAAATTTGACTAGCCAAGGTAAGCTCTGTGCTTTACATGGGTCAGTGCTTACTATAATTACTACTTACATAATTATATATATATATACACACACACATACATATATATTATATAACTAATTATATAATTACTATTATTGTTACTCATAATAGTAATCATGAGAGGCAGCATGGTGTAGGATTGAATTGGTCTCAGAGAGGAAGCCCTGGGTTCCAGTGCTGCTTCTGATACATACTTACTCTGTGACCCTGGGCAAGTAATTGAATTTCTCAGTGCCCCTGGCAACTATCTGAATATATAACTTGCAAAACAGTTGCAAATATTTGTTGATACTTGAGCATTTCCTCAGTGGGAGTCATATACCAGTGAAATCAGAGGGTCTAGTTTAAAAGAAAAAAAGCTAGCATTGGTATAGAGCTTTAAGGTTTACAGAATGACTTACATTCATTAACTCATTTGATCCTCACAACCCCATGAGATAGGTGCTATTATTATTATCCCCATTTTCTGGATGAGGAAACTCAAAATGAGAGGCGTTTAGTGACATGCCCAGAATCATACAGCTGGTGAATATCAGAGGCAGAATTTGAACCTGGGTCCTTCTGATTCCCAAGCCTATCCCTCACCACACTCTATCCCCAGTCCTCCGTAGAGGTTAGATCATTGCTGTGGTGGAAGCAGATGAGACTATTTTTACTTTAGGTCCTTCCTCTCTCCTCTTCCCTGGGAACTTCCAAGGCCATCTCCCATGGCTTCCTTCATCTAGTGCCCCTGCTGAAATCTTGGCACATGGCTATTATTGGACATGCTTGTCTGGCCCACCTTCCTGGGGCTACCAGAAAATTTTAATTTCCACATGCCATCCCAGGGGAGTAGCATCCTCAAGGGCCAGTAGAAATCACCACCTGTTACTCAGGAGGAAGGAGTTTATTTGCAATACCATCCCCAGTCCAGACCAGACTGACATGCAGAGCCCTTGGGGGAATAGGAGGGTCTTCATCGTGAAGCAGAAAAATACTGAGTACAATAGGAAACCCAGGGGTAGGCCCTGTTTCCCTCTTTCTTTCCCACTCACCTCTTCTTTTTATCACAGTCTGGGGCCCTGCACACTCTCCATTAGTAGAGAGTTCCCAGCCCGTCAGAAGCATATGGAGGGAGAAGAGGTAGGAATTTTAAGATAGAGGAGAAGGTGCTTACTTAGAAAATGAATTGTAATCTTATACAGAGTGGGAGCTAGATTGTGCAGTGGTAAGAGCCCTGGGCCTGGAGTCAGGAATTCCTGAGCTCAAATCTGACCTCAAACACTGGCAGCCATGGGTTAAGCCACTTAACCCGTATCTGCCTCAGTTTCCTCAATGTGAAATGGGGATAACAATAACACCTACATCCCAGAGTTGTAAGGATCAATTGAGATCATATTTTGTAAAGTGCTTAGCGCAGTGTCTGGCATCTAGTAAGTGCTTAATTAAAGCTTCTTTTCTTTCTTCTCTTGAATTGCTTCATGCGATTGGGGAGAACATCCTGGCTGGATGCTTTCTCCATTATGGAGCTGGTAAATTAGGCTCCAGGAAAGGGAAGAGGTAGCATAGGGACCCACTATATTGACACATCCCTATTCAGAGCTTTGGCAGTAATTGGAGCCTGGAGCGTAATTCTTGGGCACATAAAAGTTGCAGATAGTGAGCGTGGAGCACTAGAAAGAATTGGGAGTCCTGGGCTCATAGGATATGACACTTAGAGCTGGAAGGGACCTCAGATGCTCTCTACTCCCAAATGAGGAAACTGAGGCTGTGAAAGGCTACAGGACAAGAGTCCTGAACATGAAGTCACAGGGCTTTAGTTTAAATTCCTGCCTCTGATGTTTAATCCCTGTGTGATTTTGGACAGGTCACTTCTATCTTGACCTCATTTTCCTCTTTTGTAAAATGAGGGAGTTGAACTAACAGGCCTGGATCTATAATTCTTTTATGGTGGGAAATTAGGGAAAAAACTTAACATCTGGGGCCTGGGATCTCCAAATTCTCCAGTTTTGTTATGGCTGTATGTGTTCTATAAGGTGTAGCATTTTTTTGGCCGAGCCCTTTCTATTCATGGGCCTATAACTATAGTGATAACTAGGGTAGGGTGACTGGACTTTGACTCAGGGTGCCCAATTTCGAAGGTGCTGACAGCACTTCCTTTTAATTCCTCAATAGCAAAGAAATGACAGAGCTTAAGACCTAGTTGGTAAGAAATTATCCTCAGTTAAATAGAGAGAGCTATCAGATGACCTTCCTCTCCCTGGTATTTGTCTTTTGACTTCGTTTACCTCCTCCTGTGATACTTGCCTCATGCTCATAAATTCCTAGTTGCTACTTTGCCTGCAGGTCTTGGGTTGCCAGAGATTCTTCCTTCCTCCCCTCTATATCCCATTTCCCATTCTTCTCCCTAGTTAGGTGACGCAGTGGATAAATGGGCTTGCATTCAGGAAGACCTTGAGTTCAAATCTTGCCTTAGACACCTAATAGCTCTGTGACCCTCAGTTTCCTTAGCTGTAAAATGGGCAGCAATTAGACTGATCTCTATGATCCAATGCCAAAAGAGTGCTTTAGATAGATTGGGAAAAGCTGTGGAGTTTGGAGGACTACAAAATGCATCTCCCTTTCCCTCTCCTAACCTCCCCATCATTCTTTACTCTTCTTCTTCCCTGCTCGGCTCAGCTGTTGTCCCTGCCCCAATGGAGAAGACTGAGCTCTTGGCCCTTTCTTGTTCTTCTCAAGGCTTGCTGCTACAGGAGAGAGACAAGGGGAAGCCAGTCTCTGCCCCTGATGTTGTGAGCCCAGGGAAGTACAGGACCTTGTCCCTCTCCTGGGTGCCTCGTCTTCATCTCATCATCCTCTCTCTCCTTTCCCGTCCAGATGCAGAGAAGGGCTATAGCTGCCTGTATAGATGCCCATTTGGAGGTATACCCCGATGTTTTCTCTAGCATGTGGCCTCTCTGACCTCTTAGCAGCTTGGGTGGCTATTTTTTTTTGTTTTTGTTTTTTTGTTTTTTTAGCCTCTCCCTTTGGTTTCCTAACCCTTCCTCCTACCTCTCCCAGCCCTTCCTCAAACCAGTAGAATTTGTAACACTTCTGCCAATAGTTATGACTCATCCCTTCCCAAAGTGGTGTGGTCCTAACAGAGAATTAACAGCTTAACAAATGTATAACCCAGTGTCTTTTAAGAAGTGTGAAACAGGCCTAGTGCCTTTCATTTGAATGGCTTGGAAATGGCACATTTTAGTTTGTGGGTCCTCTCTAGAGAACTCCTTTGACAGAGTACCCACAAAGGCTCAAAAGACTAGGTCTCTGAAACTTTAAAGAGCCCTAGATTAGGATTCTGGAGATTTGAATTCAAGTCACAGATTTAATTGGACAAAATAGCAGTATAATCTTAGACAAATCTCTTTACCTCCCTGGGCCTCACAGTCTATTTATCCATAAAGCTAAAGAGTTGGATGAGGTGATCTCTCAGGCCTTTTCCAACTTTAATAGTCCAAGATTAAATTCTCTCTCTGCCAAATCAACAATAAATCATTTTGCTCTGAGAACTGTAATCAAATCAATAATATCATTGCTAATGAAAAGGGCATGACAGGTGACTGTCCTATGGCTCATTTCATCATCCCTGGGATTGCCCAAACCAAAACTATCTTCCCTGGCCCCCATTCCCCTTATGTGTGTTGTGTTCCCCTGTTAGAATGTAAGCTTCTTGAAGGCAAGGACTGTCTCACTTTTGTATTTGTAGCTCCAGGACCATAACACAGTGCTTGGAGCCTAGTAGTTGTTTAATAAATGCTTGTCAGTTGATTGAATAAACATTTATTAAACACTGACCATGGGCCAGACACTAGGTATACAAATACAACCATGAGATAATTCCTCTTTGTGGAGGGAAGAGATTGTAATGATGGAGACCTTAAAGTGGTGAATTTTGGTCCGTAAGATGGAGTTCAGGATAGCCTAAATACCTGGGTTTGCATGGGACAGAAGAAACCCGGGCCTCGGGTATGTTCTTCAGTCTTTGCCTCTTCTAGGAATTCTGGGGATTTGTTTTCATTGGGTGGGCAGGGAGAAGTGGGGGAGGTTGGAGGGTTCTGGACCTGTACGTTATCCTAAGAAGGACTCAGGTATTTAGCACCACGTGGT